TCCCAGTACTTTTGGAGGTCAAGGCAGGCGGAGGATCACTGGAGGCCAGGAGATCAAGACCAGCCTGGACAGCATAGCAAGACCTCCATCTCTACAAAAAATAAATTAGCTGGGCACGGTGACTCACGCCTGTAATCCCAGCACTTTGGGAGGCTGAGGTGGATGGATCACCTGAAGTTGGGAGTTTGAAACCACCCTGGCCAACATGGTGAAACCCTTTCTCTACTAAAAAAAATACATAATTAAGTTGGGCACAGTGGCTCACACCTGTAATCCCAGCACTTTGGGAGGCCAAGGTGGGCGGATCACAAGGTCAGGAGTTCGAGACCAGCCTGGCCAACACGGTGAAACCGCATCTCTACTAAAAAATATAAAAATTAGCTGGGCATGGTGGCGGGCACCTGTAATCCCAGCTACTTGGGAAGCTGAGGCAGGAGAATCATTTGAACCCAGGAGGCAGAGGTCGCAGTGAGCTGAGATCGCACCATTGCACTCCAGCTTGGGTGACAAGGCAAGACTCTGTCCCAAAAAAAAAAAACAAAAAAAAAACCCAGGTGTGGCATATGCCTGTAATCCCAGCTACTTGGGAGGCTGAGGCAGGAGAATCGTTTGAACTTGGGAGGCGGAGGTTGCAGTGAGCTGAGATGCGCCACTGCACTCTAGCCTGGGCAGCAAGAACGAAACTCCATCTCAAAAAAATATGCCAGGCATGGTGGCTCATGCCTGTAATCCCAGCACTTTGGGAGGCCGAGGCAGTCAGATCACTTGAGGTCAGTAGTTTGAGACCAGCCTGGCCAACATGATGAAACCCCATCTCTACTAAAACTGCAAAAATTAGCCGGGCGTGGTGGCACATGCCTGTAATCCCAGCTACTCGGGAGGCTGAGGCAGGAGAATTGCTTGAACCCAGGAGGTGGAAGCTGCAGTGAGCCAAGATTGTGCCACGGTACTCCAGCCTGGACGACAGAGCAAGACTTCGTCTCAAAACAAAAAAAAGCTTTCCACGCTACCCACAGAGGGGTCCATCTGGCGTTGTTCTGGTTTCCTGTTGTAACTTGAGAAAGTTTCACAGCATCCGGAGCCCTTGATGTCCCTCCTGCAAATGAAGGAGGAAGATGTCCTTAATTTCCTTGCAGCAGGAACCCACTTAGGTGGCACCAATCTTGACTTACAGATGAAACAGTACATGTATAAAAGGAAAAGTGATGGCACCTACATCCTAAATCTGAAGAGGACCTGGGAGAAGCTTCTTCCGGCAGCTCGTGGCATTGTTGCCACTGAAAACCCCACTGATGTCAGCATCACGTCCTCCAGGAATACTGGCCAGAGGGCCATGCTGAAGTTAGCTGCTGCCACTGGAGCCACTCCAATTGCTGGCCGCTTCACTCCTGGAACCTTCACTAACCAGATCGAGGCAGCCTTCCGGGAGCCATGGCTTCTTATGTTTATTCACCCCAGGGCTGATCGGCAGCCTCTCACAGAGGCATCTTATGTTAACCTACCTACCTTGCTCTGTGTCACACGGATTCTCCTCTGCACCATGTGGACATTGCCATCCCAGGCAACAACAAGGGAGCTGACTCGGTGGGTTTGATGTGGTGGATGCTGGCTCGGGAAGTTCTGTGCATGCGTGGCACCATTTCCTGTGAACACCCGTGGGAGGTCATGCCTGATCTCTACTTCTACAGAGATCCTGAAGAGATTGAAAAAGAAGAGCAGGCTGCTGCTGAAAAGGCTGTGACAAGGAGGAATTTCAGGGTGAATGGGCTGCTCCAGCTGCTGAGTTCACTGCTACTCATCCTGAGGTTGCAGACTGGTCTGAAGGTGTGCACGTGCCCTCTATGACTATCCAGCAGTTCCCTATTGAAGATTGGAGCACTCAGCCTGCCACAGAAGACTGGTCTGCAGCTCCTACTGCTAAGGCCACTGGATGGGTAGGAGCAACCACTGAATGGTCTTAAGCTGTTCTTGCAAGAGTCCTTTTTTTTTTTTTTTTTTTTGTTGTTGTTGTGATGGAGTCTCACTCTGTCGCCCAGGCTGGAGTGCAGTGCTGCAATCTTGGCTCACTGTAACCGCCGCCTACCAGGTTCAAGCCGATTCTCCTGCCTCAGCCTTCTGAGTAGCTGGGATTACAGGCATGTGCCAGCCCCCACCCGACTTATTTTTGACTTTTTAGTAGATATGGGGTTTCACCATGTTGGCCAGGCTGGTCTCGAACTCCTGACCTCAGGTGATCCACCCACCTTGGCCTCCCAAAGTGCTGGGATTACAGGCGTGAGCCACTGTGCCCGACCCTTGCATGGGCTCTTAAGCAACATGGAAATAAAGTTGATGGAAAATAAACGTCAGTTTCTAAATAAATAATAAATAAATAAAAATAAATTAACTGGGCATGGTGGCACACGCCTGTAGTCCCAGCTACTCAGGAGGCTCGGGTGGGAGGATCACTGGAGCCCAGGAGTTGGAGGCTGCAGTGAGCTATGATTGAGCCACTGCACTCCAGCCTGGGTGACAGAGTGAGACCTTGACTCAAAAAATACATATAGGCCGGGCGCGGTGGCTCACGCCTGTAATCCCAGCACTTTGGGAGGCCAAGGCAGGCAGATCACGAGGTCAGGAGATCGAGACCATCCTGGCTAACACAGTGAAATCCCGTCTCTACTAAAAATACAAAAAATTAATTGGGCGTGGTAGCGGGCGCCTGTAGTCCCAGCTACTCAGGAGGCTGAGGCAGGAGAATGGCGTGAACCCGGGAGGCAGAGCTTGCAGTGAGCCAAGATCGCGCCACTGCACTCTAGCCTGGGCCACAGAGCAAGACTCCATCTCGGAAAAAAAAAAAATATACACACACACACACACACACACACATATCAAACAGGCTTGTTCACCTCTCCTAAGACATCTCTTGCCTCCAACATCTCACCATCCACATCTATAATCCTCTTATTTTTTTAATTTACTTTTTATTTTTATATTTATTTATTTATTTTTGAGATATAGTTTCGCTCTTGTTGCTTAGACTGGAGTGCAATGGTGCCATCTTGGCTCATGGCAACCTCCACCTCCCGGGTTCAAGTGATGGTCCTGCCTCAGCATCTCGAGTAGCTAGGATTATAGACATGTGCCGCCATACCCGGCTAATTTTGTATTTTTAGTAGAGACGCAGTTTCTCCATGTTGGTCAGGCTGGTCTCGAACTCCTGACCTCAGGTGATCCACCCGTCTCAGCCTCCCAAAGTGCTGGCATTAGAGGTGTGAGCCACCATGCCCAGCCTTCTTATTTATTTTTTTCGAGATGGAGTCTTACTCTGTCACCCAGGCTGGAGTGCAGTGGTGTAATCTCAGCTAACTGCAACCTCCACCTCCCAGGCTCAAGCAATTCTCCTGCCTTAGCCTCCCGAGTAGCTGAGACTACAGGCGCCTGCCACCATGCCCAGCTAATTGTAGTATTTTTAGTAGAGACAGGGTTTCACCATGTTGGTCAAGCTGGTCTCAAACTCCTGACCTCAAGTGATCTGCCCGCCTCAGCTTCCCAAAGTGCTGGGATTACCAGTGTGAGCCATCGCGCCTGGCCTTATCTTGACTTTTTTGAGATGGGGGGGGGTCTCACTATGTTGACCAAGCTGGTGTCGAACACCTGGCCTCAACTGATCCTCCCATCTAGGCCTCCCAAAGTGCTGGAATTACAGATGTGAGCCTCCACGGCTGGCCTGGAATCCCTTTTCTTCCTCCTCTCTAGTCTTCAGGGAAAACCTCCTTTAAGGAGCCTTCCTTCCTGCTAGGTGGAGCTGATTATCTGGTTGGTTACGTTTCCATGGGATTGGGCATCGTTCTGGCCAGAGTTGGGAACCCATCTCACCCTGGGCCCCACTACCCTTGTCCTATGTCCTGTGGATGGCGGTGAGCCGAGTAGGGACAGGAGAAAACACCTCTTGGCAAGTGTTTTCTCACAGAGGCCTATGCTGCTCTTGCATGTCCTGGGCCTCAGGGACCAGCCTCAGTGACTAGCAGGTTTTCAGGCTGTTTCGATTCATGCGGGAGCCCTGCCCTTTATAAGGACACCCCATTCAGACCACCTCTCTCCTTCCCGGAGGGTCCTGGTGTGTGTGTGTGTGTGTGTTTTATTTTGTTTTGTTTTTGTTTTTTGAGACAGCCTCTATTGCCCAGGCTGGAGCACAGTGGTACAATCATGGCTTGCTGCAGTCTCAACCTTCTGGGCTCAAGCAATCCTCCCGTCTCAGCCTCCCAAGTAGCTGAGACTACAGGCATGTGCCACCACACTTGCCTAATGTTTTTTGAGTTTTGTTTTTTTTTGTTTTTTTTGTTTTTTGTGGTAGAGATGGGGTCTTGCTTTGTTGCCCCAGCTGGTTGAACTCCCGGGCTCAAGTTATCCTTGGCTTCTCAAAGTGTGCCTTGTTGGTTCCATCTCCCCTTCTTCTGGGACTACATCATGTGAGAAGAGGGGGACCTTGCTGCTGTCTCCCGCCCCACCATCCTCCTCCTGGGGCGCTCTGGGGCCCAGTTCTCTCTTCCCCATGTCCTCTCCGATCTTCTTCCCAAGTCCCAGGCTTTGGTTGGGTGTGGTGGTTCACACCTGTAATCCCAGCACTTTGGGAGGCCCAGGCGAGAGGATCACTTAAGGCCAGGAGTTCAAGACCAGCCTGGGCAACACAGTGAAACCCCATCTCTACACAACAAAAAACAATAGGTCTGAGCCACCGAAACTGACTAACCCCCTGACCTCTGCAGAGTTCAAACACCTCCCCCAGGCTCTGGGCCACACCCGTGGTCATCTCTGTTAGTCCCATTGATCATAGCCTTGTGAGCCCAGGTAGTGATTAGCCCTTCCTTCCCTGGGAGCATGGGCTCCAGTGTGCAGAGCTGCAAAGGGGGCGGCAAATGGGGGCGGGACCAAGGTCAAGGGTCAGGGCCAGTGTGTTGGGCCAAAAGGAGGTGTGCTTAAGAGATGGGGGTGGCCCCTGTGTGACATTCCTCCAGAATATGGCGGCCTCCTCCAGCCTTCTCCAAAGGGGTCTCCAAGTGTTTGCTGTCCTGCAATGGGTCTTCTCCTTCTTAGGGCTGCGTGAGTCCCGAAGGCCTGGGAATCTGGGCAGGGCCCCAGCAGCTGGTGGTCTGTTTTCCTTTACCCCGAGGGAGGAGGGGTAGGGAGGGAGTCTGGGGAGCAGGTGGGATGGAAGGGGGCAGAGGGAAGACTTAGTTTACACACCTGTACTGTGAGCTCCCCCTGCCCCGTCTTCCAGCCCAGGTGCGCCTGGCTCCCTGCATTCCTCGGCTGGGCTTGGATGCTGGTGGTCCTCTACCTGGCCTGGCTCTATTGGGATAGAAACACACCCAGGGCTGGAGGCCAAAGATCTGCCTGGGTTCGCAACTGGGCAGTTTGGAGACATTCCCGTGACTACTTTCCCCTCTTGGTGAGGACCTCGGGCAGTGGGGTACTGGGTGCAGTTGGGGCTTCAGAATAGACTCTTGGGACCACCATCTCCCAAAGTGCAATCTCACTGTTGGGGTGGGGTGCGCCCCTCTGCTCCCCAGCTGGTTAAAACTGCAGAGTTGCACCCCTCCTGGAACTACTCCTTTGGCTTCCACCCTCACGGGGTCCTGGTTGTGGGAGCCTTCGCCAACTTCTGCACAGAGCCCACTGGCTTCTCCTGCCTCTTCCTCGAGCTCCGGCCACACCCGCTCATGCTGCCTTGTTGGTTCCATCTCCCTTTCTTCTGGGACTACATCATGTCAGGTGGTGAGAAGAGGGGGACCTTGCTGCTGTCCCACCATCTTCCTCCTGGGGGGCTCTGGGACCCAGTTCTCTCTTCCCCATGTCCTCTCTGCTCTTCTTTCCAAGTCCTAGGCTTTGGCTGGGTGTGGTGGTTCACACCTGTAATCCCAGCACTTTGGGAGGATCACTTAAGGCCAGGAGTTCAAGACCAGCCTGGGCAACACGGTGAAACCCTATCTCCACATGTACAACAAAAAACAAAAACAAAAATTTAGCCAGGTGTGGTAGTACACACCTGTGGTCCCAGCTACTGGGAGGCTTGAGGTGGGAGGATCACTTGAGCCCTGAAGGTCAAGGGTGCAGAGAACCAAGATCAGGCCACTGCACTCCAGCTTGAGCAACAGAGCAAGACTCCATCCCCAAATAAATAAATAAATAAATAAATAAATAAATAAATAAATAAGACCCAGGCATTGAGTCCCCCAACTTCTGCCCTCTCCCCAGGTCTAGTCTCCTCTGACAAGGCCAGCACTGCCTCAGGGGTGGCCAGGTGTCCGTCCTGGCCGTGGGAGGGCCCCTGGAGGCGCTGCTGGCAAAACTCGGAGCACTGAGCTTTCGGATTCGGAATCAGAAGGGATTCGTTAAGTCAGCTCTGGAACCCGGGTTAGGACCCGAGCGTGGCCCGGTGGGGACGCCAGGGATGCCGGGCCGGGGAGGAGGAGAGCGGCGCCACCCGCGTACCCCGGGGCCAGGAGTCAGCCGCGCCCTGCTCCCCCGCGGCCTCCCTGGTGCCTGTCTTCTCCAGGGAGAACGAGCTCTTCCAGCAGTTCCCGAACCCGCCGGGCTCGTGTTGCGGAGGGTGAAGGAGGCGCTGCATCCGCTGCTAAGCGTGGCCTTGCCGCTGTTCCTTGGCCGCCGGGGCCTCCAGCTGCCCTTCCGTGCGCCCATCCGCACCGTCGGTGAGCCCCTGCCTCTGTCCCGCGATTCCTGCCCGGTGCCCGCTCCCTCCCCGTCCAGCGTTAGGGCCTCGCCACCCAGACTGGCCTTTGGCCGCCGCGCCAGCCCTGAACTCTGTCCTCGCCGATCCCCGCGGGCGGAAGGGAGAGAAGGAGGAAGGGAGGGGAGGGGGCGGACCGGGGATCCCAGTCTTCGAGGCGCACAAGGCGCGCTATGGTGTCCCCGCCGACAGGCACCTGGTCCTCCACCTAGGCGCGCCCCACCGCCTGGCCTCGCCTGTCCCCTGGGTGACTGCGGGTGGAGAAGTGAAATTAAAGACTGGCCGCTGGGCGCGGTGGCTCACCCCTGTGATCTCAGCACTTTGGGAGGCCGAGGCACGTGGATCACTTGAGGTCGGAGTTCGAGACCTGCCTGACCATCATGGTGAAACCCCGTCTCTATTAAACATACAAAAAAAAAAAAAAAAAAAAATAGCCGGACGTAGTGGTGCACCTGTAATCCCAGCTACTCAGGAGCCTGAGGCAGGAGAATCGTTTGAACCCAGGAGATGGAGGTTGCAGTGAGCTGAGATCGTGCCACTGCACTCCAACCTGGGTGACGGAGTGAGACTCCATCTCAAAAAAAGGGAGGAGGAGGAGGAGGAGGAGGAGGAGGAGAGGAGAAGAAGAAGAAGAAGAAGGAGAAGGAGAAGGAGAAGAAGAGGAGGAGGAGGAGGAGGAGGAGGAGGAGGAGGAGGAGGAAGAAGAAGAAGGAAGAAGAAAAAAAGGAGGAGGAGGAGGAGGAGGAGGAGAAGGAGAAAGAAGAAGAAGAAGGAGGAGAAGGAGGAGGAAGAAGAATAATTAAATGTGGGAAACAGACCTGCAGCCTATGTGTGTGTATTTGCACAGCGGGGGAGGTCAAGGTAGGGGTAATTCCTGGAGATGTGGACCAGGCCCTGCCCCCCAAACTAGAGGTCAAATAGTCTCAGCAGGGCTCCTGGCCCCTGCCAGCACCTGGAACCCAATGGCTGGGCTAGCCAGATCACTCTTGTCCACTCCAACATCAATTCCTGGGGCACTCAGGTGTCACCTCTCCCTTGCACACCCTTTATGCCTCCCAGCCCCACCCAGCAGCCAGCCCAGGCTGGTGACTGACAGGAAGTTCAAAGATCAGGCTGAGAAAAAACCCGGTGACATCTGGGGCTCTGAATCCAAAGGTCTCCCCACTCACATACCTGGGGACACACGCTACTCCGGGAGGTGATTTTCGACTTAGCCAGGCCCCCAAGGTTGGGCTGCTGTACGGAGAAAGTCTGCCCAGGTCCACATCCGAGCCTTCATCGTTTGTCCTCTGGGTTCTGGGGTCCTGCTGGAAGAGGGGAGCTTCTGCAATGGGAGTTGCCACAGCCCCACCGCCCCCCACCACCTCCAAAACCCTACAGAAGCAGTATCTAGAAGCAGTGGGCGCCTACCAATATGTGCTCACTTTCCTCTTCATGGGTGAGAACAGGGGAGGCATGGGTGCCTGGGGTCTGCCAGGGGAGTAGGCCTTGGAGGGAGAGTGGCTGGGCTGCTGACTTGCATGCCTAAGGACAGTGAGCAGGTGACTGGTCTGGGAGAGGGCCAGAGGAGATAGCTGCTTGATCTGAAGGGGAGGAAGGGAAGGGAGCAGCTGGAGGGAATGATGGAGTTTCAGAAGTGAACTCTCTTTTCTTCCTCATCCTTCACCCAGGCCCTTTCTTCTCCCTTCTTGTCTTTGTCCTCCTCTTCACATCACTCTGGACCTTCTCTGTTGTTTACTTGGTGTGGCTCTACATGGACTGGGACACACCCAACCAAGGTGAGTTCTGGATGGGGGCCCAGGTAGCCAGAGATGGTGGGGACATGGGGGTAAGGGGAGGTGGCTCCAGGAGTTCTTCCACCAGTATCTCATTGTCTGCAGGTGGAAGGCGTTCGGAGTGGATAAGGAACCAGGCAATTTGGAGACAACTAAGGGATTATTATCCTGTCAAGGTGATGGGTCACTCTGAAGAAACACTGCTTCCTCCCTCTCCCCATCTCCCACACCTAGGAGCCCTTCCCTGTGCTGGGGCCTGAGCTCCCCGCTGCCTAAACTCAGGCAGGGGACAGGGAATGGATAGTGGGTTTTGTTTTGTTTTTGTTTTTGTTTTTTTTTGAGACAGAGTCTCACTCTGTCACCCAGGCTGGAGTCCAGTGGTGTGATGTTGGCTCACTGCAAGCTCCGCCTCCCGGGTTCACACCATTCTCCTGCCTCAACCTCCCGAGTAGCTGGGACTACAGGCGCCCGTCACCATGCCCGGCTAATTTTTTTGCATTTTTAGTAGAGATGGGGTTTCACCATGGTAGCCAGGATGGTCTCGATCTCCTGACCTCGTGATCCGCCTGCCTTGGCCTTCCAAAGTGCTGGGATTACAGGCATAAGCCACCACGCCCAGCCTTGTTTTAAGACCGAGTCTCCTTCTGTCGCGGAGGCTGGAGGGTAGTGGTACAATCTCAGCTCACTGCAACCTCCACCTCCTGGGTTCAAGCTATTCTCATGCCTCAGCCTCCCTAGTAGCTGGGATTATAGGCGCCCGCCACCATGCCTGGCTAATTTTTGTAGTTTTAGTAGAGACAGGTTTCAACATGTTGGTCAGGCTGGTCTCAAACTCCTGGCCTCAAGTGATCCAGCTGCCTCGGCCTCCCAAAGTGCTGGGATTACAGCCATGAGCCACTGCGCCCGGCTTGGGAGTGGATGATGTTCAAGAGTGGGCCCTTGGTGGGGCACCATGGCTCATACCTATAATCCCAGCACTTTGGGAGGCCGAAGTGGGAGGATCGCTTGAGCCCAGGAGTTAGAGGCTGCAGTGAGCCATGACTGCACTACTGTACTCCAGCCTGAGCAACAGAGTGAGACCCTGTCCCTAAAAAAAATAATAATAAAAAGAGGCTGGGTGCAGTGGCTCAAGCCTATAATCCCAGCACTTTGGGAGGCCAAGGTGGGCAGATCACAAGGTCAGGAGTTCAAGACCAACCTGGCCAACATGGTGAAACTGCGTCTCTACTAAAAATACAAAAATTAGCTGGGCATGGTGGCACGTGCCTGCAATCCCAGCTACTAGGGAGACTGAGGCAGGAGAATAGCTTGAACCTGGATGGAGAGGCGGAGGTTGCAGTGAGCCGAAATCACGCCACTGCACCTCAGCCTGGGCTACAGAGTGAGACTCCGTCTCAAAAACAAACAAACAAACAAACAAAAAATAAACCTGGGCCCTTGACTGTATCCGAAGAACCTTTAACTCGAAACTCTGTTGGGGTGGAGGGCCCCTCTTTTCAACCAGTGTCTTGCCTTCCATCCTCCCTTCATCCTGCTCAACACCCGGAAGCTGGTGAAAACGGCAGAGCTGCCCCCGGATCAGAACTACGTGCTAGGTGCCCACCCTCATGGGATCATGTGTACAGGCTTCCTCTGTAATTTCTCCACCGAGAGCAATGGCTTCTCCCAGCTCTTCCCAGGGCTCCGGCCCTGGTTAGCCGTGCTGGCTGGCCTCTTCTACCTCCCGGTCTATCGCGACTACATCATGTCTTTTGGTGAGCCCAGTGGGAGGAGGTGACTCCTAACCAGATGTTCCCCAGCCCCTCTGGGATCCCCCCCCCATAATAAGTCCCCCACCCGGGACAGGGGCCAGCCTGAGCATTGGCCAGACTTGCAGTGAGAATTTGGGTAGGTTCCCTGCCTTGGAGATGGGGATGGCTTTAAACTGAAGGCTGGGTGAGGGGCGAGGGTGCTGTGGAGGCAGATGAGGACTACTTTCCTCCACCTCCTGCCCACAGGACTCTGTCCCGTAAGCCGCCAGAGCCTGGACTTCATCCTGTCCCAGCCCCAGCTCGGGCAGGCCGTGGTCATCATGGTGGGGGGTGCGCACGAGGCCCTGTATTCAGTCCCCGGGGAGCACTGCCTCACACTCCAGAAGCGCAAAGGCTTCGTGCGCCTGGCGCTGAGGCACGGGTGAGTGCGCGGGCAGGCCCTACCTGTCAGTTCTCTGTTGGTTTATGCCCTCTCTCAGTCCCCAGACATCTAGGTCCCTGTAGGGGGGATCTGGGTGCCCAGAGACCAGCGCTGTGCCCTGCACCGAGGCCCACGTGGGCTCTCCAGGGCATGACTCGGTGCCAAACATGGGGCCGGCTTACCCCAGCCTCCCTTCCACCTCCGTGGAGACAAAACCATAATGCAAATAGCAGGGCCCTCGGGCTCAGAAGCCCTGTCTTCCCTCTCTGACCCCATCTCAAAAGCAAAACCTTGTGCTTGTTTCTCTTTTTGTTATTGTTGTTGAGACAGAGTCTGGCTCTGTGGCCCAGGCTTGAGTGCAATGGCGTGGTCTCGGCTCACTGCAACCTCCGCCTCCCCGGTTCAAGTGATTCTCCTGTCTCAGCCTCCAGAGTAGCTGGGACTACAGGCGCCCACCACCACACCGAGCTAATTTTTATATTTTTAGTAGAGACGGGGTTTCACCATTTTGGCCAGGCTGGTCTCCAACTCCTGACCCCAAGTGATCCGCCCACCTCAGCCTCCCAAAGTATTGGGATTACAGGTGTGGTTAGTCACAAAACCCACAGTGCTGGGATTATAGGCGTGAGCCACCATGCCCGGCCAGACTTGTTTCTTTACTTGTGAAGAGGGCTGATACCTACCTTGCCACAATGTTGTTATTGCAAAGACTGAGAGAAAATGACTATGAGAAGGCCCACTACACAATTCAAGAAGAGTGAGTCCTGGCTGGGTGTGGTGGTTCACACCTGCAATCCCAGTGCTTTGGGAGGCCAAGGCAGGAAGATCTCTTGAAGCCAGGAGTTCAAGACCAGCCTGGGCAATGTAGGGAGACCTCATTCTCTACAAAAATATATTTTAAAAAAATTAGCCAGGTGTGGTAGTGCTCGCCTGAAGTTTCAGCTACTCGGGAGGCTGACGTGGGAGTATGACTTGAGCCAAGGAGGTTGAAGCTGCAGCAAGCTATGATTGTACCACTGCCCTCCAGCCTGGGCAAGAGAGCAAGGCCTTGTCTCTTTTTAAAAAATTTAATTTATGTATTTATTTTAAATTTTCTAATTTTTAATTTTTTTAATTGTTGGAGATGGAGTCTCGCTCTGTTATCCAGGCTTGAGTGCAGTGATGCGATCTTGGCTCACTGCAACCTCTACCTCCTGAGTTCAAGCAGTTCTCCTGTCTCAGCCTCCCAAGTACCTGGGATTACAGGTGCACATCACCACATCGGTTAATTTTTGTATTTTTAGTAGAGATGGGGTTTCACCGTATTGGTCAGGGTGGTCTTGAACTCCTGACCTCAGGTGATACACCCACCTGGACCTCCCAAAGTGTTGGGATTACAGGCGTGAGCCACCGCGTATAGCTATTTATTTTTTGAGAGTCTCACTCTGTCACCCAGACTGAAGTGCAGTGGTGCGATCTTGGCTCACTGCAACCTCTGCCTTCCAGGTTCAAGCAATTATTATTATTATTATTATTATTTTTGAGACGGAGTCTCGCTCTGTCGCCCAGGCTGGAGTGCAGTGGCACAATCTCGGCTCACTGCAAGCTCCACCTCCCAGGTTCACGCCATTCTCCTGCCTCAGCCTCCCAAGTAGCTGGGACTACAGGCGCCCGCCACCACGCCCAGCTAATTTTTTATATTTTTAGTAGAGACGGAGTTTCACCGTGTTAGCCAGGATGGTCTTGATCTCCTGACCTCGTGATCCACCCGCCTCGGCCTCCCAAAGTGCTGGGATTACAGGCGTGAGCCACCACGCCCAGCGTCAAGCAATTATTGTACCTCAGCCTCTGTAGTAGCTGGAATTACAGGTACGCACCTCCACACCTGGCTAATTTTTATATTTTTGCAGAGACGGGGGTTTCACCATGTTGGCCAGGCTGGTCTCCAACTCCTGACCTCAAATGATCCTCCCCTCAGCCTCCCAAAGTGCTGGGATTACAGGTGTGGTTAGTCACAAAACCCTCTCTCTAAAACAAAGAAAAAGAACAAGAAAGAAACGTGAGTCCTGTCTTCTAGATCTTTCTTTGTAGCCATAGTCATATGCTTTGAATGGCCCTGGAAAGTAGCATCTGGATGTAGTGGGAGGGACTTGCAGCCCCTGGGGGTGCCCATCTGGGAGCAGCCTAGCAGCCTGAGCCCCCTCTTCTCTCTTGCTCCTTCCCAGGGCGTCCCTGGTGCCCGTGTACTCCTTTGGGGAGAATGACATCTTTAGACTTAAGGCTTTTGCCACAGGCTCCTGGCAGCATTGGTGCCAGCTCACCTTCAAGAAGCTCATGGGCTTCTCTCCTTGCATCTTCTGGGGTCGCGGCCTCTTCTCAGCTACCTCCTGGGGCCTGCTGCCCTTTGCTGCGCCCATCACCACTGTGGGTGAGTGCCCACCTCCGGGGGGACAGCCACCAGCCGCTGAGTGGGCATCAGGGACCCCCTCACCCACCTATGTCTCCCTCTCCCTGCAGTGGGCCGCCCCATCCCGGTCCCCCAGCGCCTCCGCCCCACCGAGGAGGAAGTCAATCACTATCATGCCCTCTACATGAAGGCCCTGGAGCAGCTCTTTGAGGAGCACAAGGAAAGCTGTGGGGTCCCCGCTTCCACCTGCCTCACCTTCATCTAGGCCTTATGCTGAGCCCCTGAGCTTAAGGCACTGAGACCTCCATCCACTGTGGACTCCATGCCTCCAATAAAAGGTAGTTCTGGGCCCAGCGCAGTGCCTCATGCCTATAATCCCAGTACTTTGGGAGGCCGAGGTGGGAGGATCGCTTGAGCCCAGGAGTTGAAGACCAGCCTGGGCAACATAGTGAGACTTCATTTCTACAAAGATTAAAAAATAATATTGCTAATTAGCCGGGCATGATGGCATGTGCCTGTGATCCCAGCTACTCGGGAGGCTGAGGCAGACCTGCTTGAACCCGGGAGGTGGAGGTTACAGTGAGCTGAGATCGCACCACTGTACTCCAGCCTGGGCAACACAGCAAGACTCAATCTCAAAAAAAAAAAAAAAAAAAAAAGAGTTGTTAAAGCTATAGTAGGCTGGGTGTGGTGGCTCATGCCCGTAATCCCAACACTTTGGGAAGCCGAGGCAGGTGGATCACCTGAGGTCAGGAGTGCAAGACCAGCCTGGCCAACATGGCAAAACCCCCTCTTTACTAAAAATACAAAAAGTAGCCGGGCATGGTGGCTCATGCCTATAATCCCAGCTACTCGGGAGGCTGAGGCAGGAGAATCGCTTGAACCCAGGAAGCAGAGGTTGCGGTGAGCTGAGATCGCACCACTGCACTCCAGTCTGGGCAACAGAGTGAGATTCCATCTCAAAAAAAAAAAAAGTTGTTAAATCTATAATCGTTCTGGAAGTGAACATGGCCAGGCATGACTCGCCCCCATCCTGGTGTGCTGCAAAGCTGCTGCCTTAGATCGGGTATCAGGACCCTGAACTGTCCTCCCAGTGAGAGTTCAGTCTGTGGCATGACCTTGGACAAGCCTCTTCCTTTTGCCTGTTTACTTCTTTGTCTGTAAATAAAGGCATCTGCTTAGCAAAGAGCTGTTGCGCATTGAGGTGGAGTTAGGAGCGAGGATGTGTGGAGGGGCAGGCTTTGAAGAGTGAACAGGATTTAGGTGGAGGTGAAGTTAGGGTAGATGGCGGAATTCCAAGAGCTAAAGGTAAGAGCAGTGAAGGACACTTAACAGGACGGGGAAATGGTACCATCACCAGTGAAGGAAAGATAGAGTTAAGAACACAGCTTACGGCCAGGCGCCGTGGCTCATGCCTGTAATCCCAGCACTTTGGGAGGCCGAAGCAGGTGGATCATGAGGTCAAGAGATCAAGACCATGCTGGACAACATGGTGAAGCCCTGTCTCTACTAAAAACACAAAAATTAGCTGGGCGTGGTGGTGCTCTCCTGTAGTCTCAGCTACTCAGGGGGCTGAGGCAGGAGAATCGCTTGAACCCTGGTGGCAGAAGTTGCAGTGAGCCAAGATCATGCCACTGCACTCTAGCCTAGCCAATAGAGTGAGACTCTGTAAAAAAAAAAAAAAAAAAGGCCGGGCGCAGTGGCTCAAGCCTGTAATCCCAGCACTTTGGGAGGCTGAGACCGGCGGATGACGAGGTCAGGAGATCGAGACCACCCTGGCTAACACGGTGAAACCCCGTCTCTACTAAAAGAAAATACAAAAAACTAGCCGGGTGAGGTGGCGCGCGCCTGTAGTCCCAGCTACTCAGGAGGCTGAGGCAGGAGAATGGCGTAAACCCGGGAGGTGGAGCTTGCAGTGAGCTGAGATCCGGCCACTGCACTCCAGCCTGGGTGACAGAGGGAGACTCCGTCTCAAAAAAAAAAAAAAAGGCCGGGCGCGGTGGCTCAAGCCTGTAATCCCAGCACTTTGGGAGGCCGAGATGGGTGGATCACGAGGTCAGGAGATCGAGACCATCCTGGCTAACACGGTGAAACCCCATCTCTACTAAAAATACAAAAAAATTAGCCGGGCGTGGTGGCAGGCACCTGTAGTCCCAGCTACTCGGGAGGCTGAGGCAGGAGAATGGCGTGAACCCAGGAGGCGGAGCTTGCAGTGAGCCGAGATAGTGCCACTGCACTCCAGCCTGGGCGACAGAGCAAGACTCCGCCTCAAAAAAAAAAAAAAAAAGACAGCATTCTTTTTTTTCTTTCTTTCTTTTTTGCTCAGTATTTGAGTTTAGCATTTGGCTCAAAATTACAGATGGTTTTGAAGATTAAACGAAGATTAAATCTTAATTAAGATCTAAGGATTTAGAACAAAGACTGGCACAAAATAGGAGCCAGTCAGCGTTTGTATCATCATCCTCACCACTATCATCCTTAGAGGCACGGTACTGGTAAAGTGAGGGGCTGAGACTAAATGGTCTAAGAGCCCTGGTATGGCCAGACATGGTGCCTCATGCCTGTAATTCCAGCATGTTGGGAGGCTGAGGTGGGAGAATCACTTGAGCTCAGGAGTCTGAGACCAGCTTCAGCAACACAGTGAAACCCCATGTCTATGAAAAATACTAGAAATTAGGGCCAGGTGCGGTGGCTTATGCCTGTAATCCCAGCACTTTGGGAGGCCAAGGCGGGAGGATCAAATGAGGTCGGGAGTTCCACACCAGCCTGACTAACATGGAGAAACCCAGTCTCTACTAAAAATACAAAATTAACTGGGCATGGTGGCACACGCCTGTAGACCCAGCTACTCAGGAGGCTAAGGCGGGAGAATTGCTTGAACCCGGGAGGCGGAGGTTGTGATGAGCCGAGATCACGCCATTGCACTCCAGCCTGGGCAACAAGAGTGAAACTCCAGCTTAAAAAAAAAAAAAAAAAAAGGGAAGAAAGAAAGAAAAAAGAAAAATACTAGAAATTAACCAGATGTGGTGGCTTATGATTGTCATCCCAGCTACTTGGGAGGCAGAGGTGGGAGACTCTCTTGAGCCTAGGAGGTCAAGGCTGCAGTGAGCCGAGATCCTGCCGCTGTACTCCAGCCTGGGTAACAAAGCGAGAGACCTGTCTCAAACAAACAAACGAAAAGAGCCCTGGGGTGGTCACAGTATCCTCCTACTTTGGTCAATCCTATTTGCTGGCTGGCTTTGTGTATTCAGGACTTCATCAAGAATAACTCATTGGAATGTAATTGGAATGTCCTGTATTTGCTTCTACCATCCTGTAAAATTTATTTGTGGGAAGAATTTTCCCTTTATTGGATGAAAATCTGGGCAGTCCCATGACTTCCCTGGGTCATTCTCAGATAATAAGTTCTACATTCATTTTAAGTTGGAGCACAGAAATGTTTCATTCAGGCCAGGCACGGTGGCTCATGCCTGTAAGCCCAGCACTTTAGGAGGCCAAGGCAGGAGGATCACTTGAGACCAGGAGTTCAAGACCAGCCTGGCCAACATAGTGAAAACCAGTCTCTACCAAAAATACAAAAATTAACTGGGCATAGTGGTGGGTGTCTCTAATCCCAGCTACTCTGGAGGCTGAGGCAGGAGAATTGCTTCAATCCAGAGGCGGAGGTTGCAGTGAGCCAAGATAGCACCACTGCACTCCAGCCTGGGTGACAGAGTGAGACTCTTGTCAAAAAATAAAAATAAATCAGCTCCGGGTTTGAGTAACCTCAGCCTGGATACCCTTGGAGTACAGGCAAGCCTCGACGTGGCCACTTGTCCTTCCCTCTTTCCTGCTGTGGCAGCATTCAACCAGTCACAATCCGGCCAATAGATTTCTCTAGTGGGCACATTTTCCAGACACTGGGGATGGGCTGGGTGTGGTAGTGCTCATCTGTCATTCCAGAGTTTGAGATGCCAAGGTGGCAGGATCGCTTGAGGCCAGGAGTTACAGGCTGAGCCAAGACTGCACCACAGCACTCCAGCCTGGACAACAGAGCACAATCCTGTCTTTTAATAAAGGGGAAGAAGCAGCAGCGTTGGCGGCGTTATGAGCTCAGCCTGTCGCTTTCTTTCGGGGCTATTCTCTCCTGCCATCCTCCATGTGGCCACCAGAGGGCGGTCTCTACACAGAAGGCAAATCTGTCCCTCTTCCTTGAAGTCCTTGGGAGGGGCTAGCCAGCCTCTGCCTACAGGCTGGGTCCAAGGTGCGGCCCCACCCGGGGCAGACAACCCAGAACTGCTTGTTCTTGCAAACGAGGCTGTGTTTCAGCCCTGGGCGTTACTCAGGCTGTCCCCTCCCACCTGAGGGACCCAGCCCCTCTTATCTGGAAGGGGACTTTCAAGACTCAGTTTCGGTTCCATTTCCAAGACACCTTCCCCAACCTGCCAACCTGCCGGGCTGGTCCAGGGCCCTCCTCGCCATCCGCATAGCTCTGCTTAAAGATCTATCACGGGCCAGGCGCGGTGGCTCAAGCCTGTAATCCCAGCACTTTGGGAGGCCAAGGTGGGCGGATCATGAGGTCAGGAGATCGAGACCATCCTGGCTAACACGGTGAAACCCCGTCTCTACTAAAAAATACAAAAAACTAGCCGGGCGTGGTGGCGGGCGCCTGTAGTCCCAGCTACTCGGGAGGCTGAGGCAGGAGGATGGCGTAAACCCAGGAGGCGGAGCTCGAAGTGAGCTGAGATCTCACCACTGCACTCCAGCCTGGGTGACAGAGCGAGACTCCGTCTCAAAAAAAAAAAAAAAAAAAAAAGATCTGTCACGACCTTCTCCAGGCTGGCCAACATGGCGAAAACCCATCTATACTAAAAATACAAAAATTAGCTGGGCATGGTGACAGGTGCCCGTGATCCCAGGGACTTGGGAGGCTGAGGCAGGAGAACCACTTGAACCCAGGAGGCGAAGGTTGCAGTGAGCAGAGATTGTGCCACTGAAGTCCAGCCTAGATGACAGGGTGAGACTCCATTTCAAAAAAAAAAAAAAAAAAAAAAAAAAACTATTACGACTTTCTGTGCTTTTTGGTTGTTTGTTTTGCTATTTTGTTTTTTTGACGCAGGGTCTAGCTCTGTCACCCAGGCTGGAGTGTAGTGGTTCCACCATTTTGCCCGGGCTGGTCTTGAATTCCTGGGCTGGAGCAATCCTCCTGCCTTGGCCTCGCAAAGTGCTGGGATTACAGGTGTGAGCCACCGCACCTGGCCCTCTGTGTTGCTTTAAAACAGCAATTTATCAAAAAATTAAATAACTTGAGCATCAGTAAGAAAGGCAACTTCAGGCTGGGCGCTGTGGCTCACGCCTGTAATCCGAGCACTTTGTGAGGCCAAGGTGGGTGGATCATGAGGTCAAGAGATCGAGACCACCCTGGCCAACATGGTGAAATCCCGTCTCTACTGAAAATACAAAAATTAGCTGGGCATGGTGGTGTGCACC